GGCAAAGGTTTGAATGTGTTGGTCGGGGGCACTAGCGGGTTTTATATTTCTTGATGGATTGATTGATTTGCAATGAAGCGAGCAATGGGAAAAGTTGCAATGCGCTATGTGAGCACTTTAGTGTTCAATGAAGAGAAGCAAGCACTTTTGCAACTCAATGACATGTGAGGGCGTGAAGCCAACATCTATCGTGTTGCTACACATCACTATTGAGGCATGCTTTTAATAATGTTGATTAGTAGTAAGTGGTTATTTATATTATAGATGATTCGCCACCCCCATGAGATTTATATTTTTTTTCTTGCATTTGTTTTAAATTGTGTGTATCACATTTTCAAAATCTCTACAAATAAGTATCACCTCTTTTCATTTAACCAAGCATTATTTTACATGATAGATATGCATTAGAAACCCTTGAACCTAAAAGAGTGCTAATAGTAGATTTAATGGTAGTGCTTAAGTTAAAAAAAAAATAAAAAAAGGTAGTGCTTAAGTTTGCATTATAATGCCTTCTGCACAATATATTAATGCCTTCTACACAAGATATAATATTAGGGCTAAATAATGAAATAATAAATGATGCAGTATAAATGAAATCAATTTAATTACTATTCTGGAAAATTCTAATGCAACTTAAGTATTATATTTACTAATTTAATAAAAGTATGATCTTAAGGAATTTTTAAATTAAATAGAAATCTTTGGAGAAGATTTCTTAAAAGGTAGCATTTCTTATTCTCAAAAAATTGAATTGCTAAAACTAAATTAATTGGACTATGTTTAATATATTTTGGTGAAGTGTTATTTCAACAACAAAATTGTAGGGATCATCAGTTTCATACTGTCATTATCAATATAAGAAGTTTAAACAAGGTGATATGCTGTGTTTGGATATTTTGTTTGTTTTGAAGATCTTGATGCTAAAGATTCATTGCATACATATTATTTATTTATCACTATCTGTTTCAGAGAAGCTTTATGCAAAAATTTAAGGATAAATTAAGGCACAATTTATCAAAGACACTAGAAAAGGCTTTATACAAAGGCTTAAAGACTGTAAAATATTACAGTTATCTTTGATACAGGACCATGTAAATGAAATGCACTTTAACTCATATGGATGTTGCACAACTTATGATTAGAATAAATTTAGAACAAAAATTACTAGCGAATTCAAACAATGAATCAAAACGATTTGTGATTATCCGCTTAGGCTAAATCACATGGTGAGAGCTTTGAAAACTTCCAAAATAAATAGAAAATGACACAATGGAAAATAGTAGCTTTCAAAATAATCCCTAATCTAACAATGAGAATTGGAAAGCATAGAGGTGCACTCAAATCCTACGTTTACTAAGCTTAAGCAAGAACAATGCGGAGGAGCCCGTCGTGACTGCAATCAAATCAAGAAGAGTTAGACTAAAATGGATAAGATGCAAGTAGGGAGAAGAACCTTTCGTCAAGGGGTAGTGGAGATCCTCCACTCAATGCCTTCGAAGTGTTCGTCAATAGCCTCTACCAAATAGATCAACGTACGCTCCAAGTAATCCTCGACGGTGAGATCAACCCTTGAATTCACGTCGAAGAAAGTAGATTGTAGAATGTCAACGAAGCCATCTTCGTCCCAAGTTATGCCGTAATCAATTTCCGGATCCGCCATTCATGGACGCCGGTTGTTAAATCTCCTCCTTGCTAGGGTTCTTGAATAGGATTGAAGAGAAAGAAGTTTCTCTTCCTATTGTAAGAGAAGAGAGAGACCACCAAAAATTTGAAATTTGTTTCAAATTTTGTGAAAGGGGGAAAGCTAGTTGAGAGAGAGAGGAGATTTGAGAAAGAGGTAGAGAGAGAGAGAGGCGGCAAGAGGAAAAGGGGAAGGAGGGGGCGGCGGGTAGATGAGGGATGGGGATTTGATTTCCCAAATCAAATTCCTAGATTAGGAATTCAATTCTGGAAATATGGGAGAGGGAATTTTGGCTAAGAGGAAATGGGAGGGATTTAAAATTAATTCCTAAAGCAATGAGGGGAGATTAGGAAATAATTAATAAATCAAGCCAATAGAGGATGAGAGGGTCTGGCGACATTAAGGAGAGGGAGGGATTTGTGGAGAGCAATTAATGTTGCTTGATTTGGGTTTGAATATTAGGAAAGGGATTTTAAACTCCTATTTGAATTTTAAATTCAAATAAGTCTTAATTAGGATACTTTCCAAAAATAGCTTTCATAAATTAGGAAAGATTTCAAATTTCAGAATACATGAATTTGAATTTGAAACTAACCCAAAATATGTCCACCCAAATTAGGCAAGGAATTTTAATGGGAAATAGGGAGTGGGAGGGCGGGGGGGGGGGGGGGCGGCTAGGTGGATGGAGCCAGTGGCATGGGGGGTTCGGGTTGGGCTTGGGCTTTGATGTTGAGGGGGAAATGTGAAGGGGAATTCCGGTGCTATGGAATCCGACGGCTAAGTGAGGATGGGAAAGGATACGGGAGAAACAAAAGGGAAGAGAAGAAAACGAGATAAACGAAAGAAACCACGAACCCGACTTATCTAGGTTGGTGGGTGTTGCGCCAATCTTCTTCCTCTCCTAGGAAGCTCTCCTCATTAGAACTCTCAAGCCCTCAAGGCTCATGCAAGAAAAAATTTTCATAAGAAATCATTCATTAACCATGAAATAATAAGCAAAGGCATATATAGCCAAGTATAGTGGACTCAAAGAAATAAAAGACCAAATTGCCTTTGGGCTCACACATGACATTTCCCACTTAAGGGTACAAAAGGAAGAACAAACATGACACAAAGAAAATAGAAAATATATAAATAATAAAATAACAAAAAATGACTCATAAATACAAAGACTCGATCGTGGCAGTAGATTGGCGGCCACGCCTCTGATAGACCTTCCATGATCTGATGTCCCAATCAATCTTCCTATTAGACTACCACATCAGTGATTAATATTTTCTAAAAAAAGTCATTATCATCTCAGCTAAAGCCTATTAACAACACATCAATAACCATATAAAGTTGTATTTTGTCTTTTGAAAATATTTTTTAAATGATGTACTAGATGTTAAAATTGATTTGCAATTATTATATGATTTATCTTTGATTTATTAAATTTGAATTATAATCAGAGCTTATTCTATAATATATTCACGACCTTGAAAAAAAAAAAACTTAAGTGATTAGAACATCAATCTTAGAATTATAATGGCTTCATTATCAGAGCAAGATCAAGGGCTCAAGATAAGGGCCTCATTACAGATCAAAATCAAATGACGAGTGATTCTTCCAATATAAAAAATTTAAGAGGTTTTTATTTAAAATGTTTAAAATTGTATGCGTGATAAAAATTTAATATTTGCATTTTAAATTTTAAATCTTTTCCTTCATTGATTGAAACTAAAATTAGGATAGAAACTTGGAATATAGGCTCCCTTACAGGAAAATTAATGGAATTAATAGATATTATGATTCATAGAAGAATAAATATTCTGTGCATTCAGAAAACTAAATGGGTTGGAGAGAAAGCTAAGGAGATTAATAGTTTAGGATATAAAATATGGTATTTGGGTAAGAGTCATACTAAAATGGTGTAGGTGTGATTATAGACAAGAGTTTGTAGAATAATGTTATAAAAATCAATAGAATTATAATTTTAAAAATTGTTGTTGATGCTAAGATTATTAATATTATAAGTTTTATGCTCCTCAATTAAGTTTGGATATGAGTTCAACATTAAAATTTTGGAATGACTTAAAAGATTTAATACAAAATTACCTCTTGAAAAAAAGTTTTTATTGGAGGAGATTCAAATAACATGTTGGTAGAGAGGTAGATGATTTTAAAATCATCCATGGTGGCCATGGGTTTGGAACGACAAATGAAGTTGGTAAGATTATATTAGATTTTTTTAGCTTATGATTTCTTAATAGCTAATACCTATGTAAGAAAAGAGATGAGCATTTTATCACTATAAAAATGTATATAGTAAAACGCAGATTGATTATTTCTTATAAGAAAATTAGATTGTTTAGATTGCAAAGATTCTAAAGTTATTCCGAGTGAAAATTTATGTACCGAACATCGACTTTAAGAGAAAGGGACAAAAAATAAAAAATAAAGTAAAATAATTTTCTAGGATTAGATGGGGCATTTAAAGAATATTAACAAAAGTATTTTTGAGAGTAAGATTTTAGATCTTAAGGTTATGAAGAAAAACATAAAATTGATATATGCTTCACAAATCCCTAACCCTTTTAAGCCTATCAAACCCCAAAAGATACTATCGATCCCATCCTCTAACACATATTTCAAGAGTAGCCAAAACATATCCAAATTTGGCATCTTTACCTCGTCATGGTGTAGCCTTCACCAAATACCCTTAAATATGGTGGGTCCCTAAAAGCTCCATATCATATCTCCTAGCCTTGTCCTACAGCTTCCAAGAGGATTCATCCCCTAACGCCTCCTCTTTTCCACGACCCAAAAGATGAAATCTTCAGTGTTGTATGTGGACTGGTTTGACCTAAGCCCTTGATTGACCCTCTTTCTTTGACCTTCACCTAAAAAAAAAATTCCTCCAACATCCATAGGTGTTTCAAATATCCTTAGCAACCAATCACAGAAATTGGAATACTTGAGTCAACCTTTGCAAGTTGATGTCAAAAGCTAATACCTTAAATCTAAAATTAAACGTAAGATCATATAAAACATAAGCATCAATCAATTTAAAATTGAATTTGAACATGATATCAATTTTGAATTTAGACTTAAATTAGAATATCAAGCTATATAGTTTATGCCTAATGAAGTTTTTGCATCAAATTGAAGAGCCTGATAATTTAATTCCTAATGAAGAATCAAATTGGTTTCAAATTTTATTTTTGTGTTGTTGATTTACAAATGTAAAAGAAAAACCTTAATAAGGAAGTGAATTTCATTAACATCTCAAAGTGCTTATTCATGATAATTTCATTAAAGAAAACTTTAAATTTAAACTTCCTCTATTCGGCTGAATTCAAAAGTATATAAATTCACTATTGATTAATGTGACAACCGGTTCTTCCGGCCGGTTCAACTGAACCGGCCGGCCCACCCTTTATAATCCCGCGAACAGAAGGATCGCGGAACAGAACTGTTCGCGCGAAACAGAGAGGGGCGCGACGACGGCTTCGTGCGTAGAACAAGGTAGGTTTTTCTTTTCTCTGATTTTAGCAAGTGATTATCTTCAAGAGTAAGAAATAGTAATTCCTTTTCATTCTTATAGTTATCAGAGTGTTATTTTGGGAGAGATTGGAAGAACGAGAGAAACGGACGATAAGGCTTAAGGGAAAGGTTTGTTGATTTTCTTTCAAATTTTTCGTATAAATTTCCTCCCTTTACCTCATCCAAAGTGAATGATATATTTCTTGAAAGATAAGGAAAGAATTGAAGCGAAGAAAGAGGAAATTGGAAGATAAGGGATTTTGGGAGTTTGAGAAGTTCTCAATTGTAAGTGAATTATTAATACTTGTTATCGAATCACAATTTTATTGATATGAAAATCATTGTATGAATTTAGGTTTTAGAAAGTGAATGATCAAGTTGTAGGTGTTGATCCCGCGAGGATTCAACAAGAAGAGAAATTGATTCAAGAGAAGATCAAGCATTGAAGACCTGAAGAGTTCAAAGTGGATAAATTATATTATTTTATGTTTTATTAATGATTTCAATTTTCTAAATAATTGATTAAACATCTTATATTATTAAATGTTGAAGGCAAACGTTTATGATTTTACCGTCTTAAGAAAGAATCTATATGTTATAAAGATTTAAAGGCTTATGGAAAAGGAAAAGAATTATTTATGCAAATGCATGTTAATTATATTATATGAAATAGAAATAATCAAGATGAAAATGAGAAAAAGAAAAGAAAAAGAGAACAAAGGAAAAGGGTATTGAAAATAACAGGAGTCACCCCCTCATGGTACTGGCTGGGGACGCCGTACTCGTGCACGAAAAAGGAAAAGGAAATTTCTATGGAAAAGGGGAAAAGGAATCAATTGGAAAAAGGTTGTACCTTTGGGTACTTTAAGACGGTGCTCCTGCGTAAATCAAATGGGAAAAGGAAATGTAAATGAAAAAAAAAACTTAAGATAATATTGTTTCGAAATAGTATAAATGAAAATATTCAAAGAAGTATAAGTTAATGTATTAAAGGAATAAGATTAAGTAAGGAAAGAGTATATATTAATCCATTTTTTTATAAAGATAAATTTATATAATTCCCACTGAGTTTACTTAGTAAACTCAAACCATAAGTTTAATGTTTCAGGTAGTTCCTAAGAGAAGTAATGGCTGAAAGAGAAGAACATGTTTATAGAAGGCGAGGTGCAAATGACAACAGGTAAAATAAAATTTTTTTATTAGTGGCTCTTCAGTTTATAGAAAAGTTTTGATGATGAGTAAATTTACACTTTTGGAAATGTACTACTGTTCGACTTTTCGTACCCGCCTCGTTAGATCGAGCATCCGGGACGGGTCGTGACAATTAATACTTAAGTCTTTGGGTTAGCTTTTTTAAAGAGTTTGTTTGTCCATTTTGTACTGGTACATCATATATATATATATATATATATATATATAAATGTTTATCTATTACTAGAATAAATTTTATGAAAATTAATTAAATATCAATTTTATGTTTTTCTTCATCTCTTTGTATTCACTGTAGTATTTCCATTGTTAAGCATATATGATTTTTAGCATTATAATTACATGCATATCATTGCACTGTACTATTTACTAGTTATGTGTCTTTTGAATTTTAATATTCATAAGAAGTTCGTAATTAACTTTAAAAATCATAATTCTATTGTAGATATTAGTAGAATATATATGAAGTTCAAAGAAGATGATAGGTATGATTCGCATGAATCTTGAAAGATTCCTGCAAGGAACTTTCAAGAAATTAAATGTGAGAAATATTATACCACATTAAGTCATATTACTTATTGTGCTTAATGCATATATATCCCAAAGAATTCTACTATTAGTCACATCATCAAAGCCTTTGATTCTTCCCTTCCACCATTTCTTCCTAATTTCACATCTACCATATCATATTTTCATTTTTCAAAAAAAAAAAAAAAATTATTTATTGCAACTGTTCTTGATGATGAATATTATATGCAACTTGTTAGATGGAAAGGTAAAACTTCTTATGTTGATCCATGGGTCTCTTTATTGGAACTCAACAAATATTTGTAAATTATTTGAAATCGTAGCTTCTGTTTTTGAAACTATGGCTCCAACGGTTTAAGCTTATCAAAATTTCTATTCGAGCAGGCTGTAGTAGACTTGTGATCATGGTTGGATTTCTAGGACTGCTTGCAATCCTATTTCCAAGGAAATAGCTCTTCTATGATTTTTATGGCTTATCTGAGACTGGTTTCTAGCGACTGATTGAATATTGTTTCTTTTCTGCTGTGACTCTTCTCTGTAATTGATGCTTATCAGTCTTATGGGTTGGGTGTGATTAGGATATGTGATTAAATTCCCGTTTCTTATCACCTAGTGCTAGTATCTATAAATAAGGCGTATGTAAAATAACTTTGGGCTGAATAAATTTCAATTTTGCGAATGTAAAGTTTCCTTTTATTTTATCAGAATTTCAGTGATTGATCAAGTGTAAACTTTTTTTTTTTGATCAAGTGTAGACTTGAAGTATCCTAGGTGACATGATTTCCTGGTTTAAACGAGTAGCTTGTCGTTTGTTTTATTTATGTTCTTGCTCTTATCTTATTTCATTGTTTTAGTGATTGACTGCCAGTGATCATTGTATTTTCAGATTTGCTACAGAGCTGGTTGCATTTACATGCATGTTGTCTTAAATACTATGATTTTCACGATTCTTCTTTCTATAGTTTAATTTAATTAGAACAAAAAAAGTTTTTGTTCAAAATTGAATTTTGTTTTCTTTTTCAGTCATCATTTTTAGTTGTACTTAATTTTTTTTTTTATTTCATAGTTTGCTTCCTTGCTAGATTTTAATGTTTATTCTTATATTTTTTTGCATTAAATTGTGTGCATCTCATCTAAGAAATCTGTAACAATAAGCATTGCATAACTTCTCATTGAACCAAACATTGGATTGCAGATTTGTTTTAGAAATAGTAGACTTTAAGATGTCCTACATCAGTTCTTCGTTATTGTTTTATTATGTCAATCTCGAAAGTAAATTTGGTTTTCTTGAGGGTCAATATGTAACCTTTTTCTTTAGTTAATCCATTTTCTTAATGACTGACTTTTGGCATGTTTTTAAAAATGCAGGAGCATTAATGGTGCTGATATTAAAAGTCATTTCATGTGCTATTAACTACAGTGATGGGCTACTGAACGATGAAAGCTTGACGGAGTCCCAAAAGAAAAATCGGCTAGTTCATCGCCCCACTGCAATTGAATATATTGGCTACTGCCTCTGTTGTGGCAGTCATTTTGCTGGGCCCGTATATGAAATGAAGGAATACCTCGAATGGACAGAAGGTGAAGGAGTAAGTGCAGTATGTGCTCTTCTTGATAGTTAACAGCATTTACTTTCATGTCTTCCTTAAGCAAGGTTATTTAACCTTTTTATTATGTTCAGATCTGGTCAAGTCCAAAGGGTAAATCTTCACCATCACCTTACAGAGCAATGTTTCGTGCTATAGTCCAGGCCGCTATATGCATGGGCATCTACTTGTACCTTGTTCCACATTTTCCTCTTACCCGATTCAATGAACCCGCATACAACCAGTGGGGTTTCTGGAAAAGGTTATTTTACCAATATATGTCAGGCTTTACTGCTCGTTGGAAGTACTATTTTATTTGGTCAATCTCAGAAGCTTCAATAATCATATCTGGGCTGGGGTTTTCTGGCTGGTCAGATTCTTTTCCTCCCATATCACTCTGGCATCGTGCTAAAAATGTTGATATTTTTGGAGTTGAATTAGCGACTAGTGCAGTTCAGTTGCCGTTGGTGTGGAACATACAAGTCAGCACCTGGTTACGTCACTGTGAGTTTCTGCAATTATCTTAAAATAAATGAACTTGTTCACATCAACTCTTTTATAGGATGATTAAAATCATGATTGAAGCTTGAAGTGGTGCACTGAATTTGGTGGAATATAAGTTGAAAGCTGTGAAGTTATTGTTTGAGTTCGTTTTTCAGCTTGTTGTTTGGTTTTCAATTAAGGAGAAGCCTTGTAAATTTTGGGGTGGGGCGGAGCGACAGAGAGGTATGTGGCTTCCAGTGGTTTAAAAGAGGATAGATTCTATTGAATATTTGAAAGTCCAAGTTAGGAAATTTATTTTAAGAAAGTATTTTTAGGAATAAAAGGAGAGATCAGTTGTGATATTCTCCTATGATTCTATTTTTATTTTAGGAATAAAAGAAGAGATCAAGAGATTGATTGTGATCTTCTCCTATGATTGTGATATTCTTCTTTACAATATGGAATGGTCTCATCACAAACATTTAGCATTACGACACCATAATAACAACAACATCAAGCCTTTACATCAAAATCAAGAAATAGTTCATAAATTCCAAACCTTTAAGGAAGTGATTCTTCTCCTATTCTCATCACATGAAACAAATTAAATGACCATAATTATTTGCAGTGATCACAATCTGTGTTGTTGTTCATTTGTGATAAGAAAAATGATGAGTATCTCACGGTAGAAACAACCATGCCAGAGACTATAGATCGGGGTTTTAGAAAGTGGAAGGTTGAAAATAGTATGATCATGTCGTGGCCTATCAATTCCATGAACAATGACTTAGGTGAAATTTTTTTGCTTTTTGGGATTGCAAAAGAAATATAGGATGCAACCAAAGAGACTTACTCTAACTCTAAAAAAACTTGAAAGTTGTTTCAGGTTGAATCAATACTTCATGCTTTCTTCCAAAGAGAGCAATTTGTTACTCGGTCTTACAGCATACTCACATGATATTGACAACAACTTGGCATAGTTGAAACTCACACATGGACATGTCCAGAAGATGCAGTAATGTGCAAGCAGATTTTGAATTTCAAGTTTTTCTTAGGACTTAATAGGGACTTCGATGATGTTCGAGGGTCGAATCATGGGCACTAAACCACTACCAAATCTTAGGGAGGCTTTCTTAGAGGTTAGACATGAAGAAAGTGATGATGGGATCTAAGGAACAACCCACATCAACATTAGATGCATCTGCCCTTGATTTTTGATCATCTAACAGTGGTGGAGATCGTTTGAAATGGGAAAGACCTTGGTGTGATTACTATAAGAAACTAGGTCGTTACTAGGAGATTTGTTGGGAGCTCCATAGAAACCCAGCTGATTGAAAACCAAAGCCACCGTTTGATAGAGATAGCAAAGCACATATGGCTTCTAACTCTGTGATTGCTCTTGTTCCCAAGCCTAGCCCCTTTAGCAAAGAGCAGATGGATTTGCTGCAAAAAACATTTAGTCAAGTTGGCAGTGGTAGCATTATTGGGATAGGTTTGGTTGCTCAAACATATTCACATACTTCCTTCACTACCAATAGAGGAGAAATAAGGTAGTGGATAGTCGACACTGGTGCTTCTGATCACATGACAAGAGATACTACCCTTCTCCTGTTTGTATTGCTGATGGTTCAAATTCTAAAATTGTTGGAACATGTTCCATCCAACTTATTAAAGAGTTGTATCTCAACTCTATTTTCCATATTTCAAACTTGAATTGTAATCTATTGTCCATTAGCAAATTGGCTTGTGATCGTTAATGTGTTACTAAATTTTATTCAAACTAATGTGTTTTTTAAGACTTGAAATTGGGAAAGATGATTGGTAGTGCTGAACATTGCTCCAGGTTTTATCTCCTCCCATGTGGTAGATCCTCAAACCAAGTTTCTCAAGCAAGTTGCGTCAAATTGCAGAGTTTTTTAGAATCTTTCAATTATGTGTCAAATTCCAAGATCAATAAATATAGTGAAATTAGATTATTACACTATCGTCTTGGTCATCCTAGCTTTGTGTATCTTGCAAAATTATTTTTCAAATTATTTATATATATAAGTCAACATCTTTTCATTGTTAAACTTGTCAAATTGCAAAGCATATTCGAACAGTATATCCTTAAATTCTATACAAACATTCAACTGCTTTTTAATTGATCTATAGTGATGAGCGGGGTCCCTCAACTATAAAAAATATTTCTGGCACTCAATGGTTTTTTATATTTGTTGATGATTATACAAGAGTAATTTGGGTTTTACTTATGAAAGAAAAGTTTGAGTTTAGACAAAATTTTTAAACCTTCAATCTTATGGTTCAAAATAAATTCAATTCTAGAATTCAGGTACTCAAGTCAGACAATGCTAGGGAATAATTTACTAGTAGTCTCAATACTTACCTTGAGACTCATGGGATTATTCACATAAGTTCTTGTGTTGACACCCCTCAACAAAATGGTGTGGCTGAACACAAGAAGAGACATCTCTTGGAGGTTGCTCGATGTCTTACGTTTTTCTCTAATTTTCCAAATTATTTATATGGGGAAGCCTACGAGTGCAAACAAGTTAAGTCGAGCTTGACTCGCTTGCACTCCTAGGGAAGTCATTCTCACAGCTACCTATTTGATCAATGCCATCCAGAGTCCTTAATTTTCAATCTCTACGTGAACTTTTGAAAAAATTTCCTCACATGTGCAACTTCATCTGATTTACTACTCAAGACATTTGGTTGCTCGACATTTGTTCCTTATATCCCTTCTATCACAAATCTCATATTCAGGAGATCATGAATGAACATCAAGTTTGGTAGTTCTTTCTTGAGTTTGTGTCCTTTGCCCACTTAGAGTCACCAAATTCTTCTCAACCTGTGCTTGTGCCCAAAGACCATACACAAGACTTGTCCACACCCATGCATGTTCAGTCATTAATCCAGCACACAAATCTTTCTTCTCTCATGCTTGCTCAATCTGTGACTCCACAACTTGCTAATGCAAATTCTCAAGTCTACATCAGGAGGAAAAGATAGGAGCTTGAGCAAAAATCACAGCCAGCATGTGGCCAAAATATTGACTCAATTTCGATTTCACATAGAGAAAACATAGGTATGGATAAGATGTAGATGTGCTAATTCCCAATACTAATGACTACCATGTCGATTGCATTGAGGAAAGGGTGTTAGGAGATGTACAAGTCATCCAATTAGGAATTATATTACTTATTAAGGTTTATCACCATTTTATAGAGCATTTCTACTTCTCTTGATAATATCCAGGTCCCTAGTACAATACAATAGGAATTACAAAATGTAGAGTGGAAGAAGACAGTTTAAGATGAGATTTATGCACTTGAGAAGAGTGGAATATGAACTATTACTAATTTGCCAATTGGGAAAAGACCCATGGGATACAAGTGAATACAAAGCAGATGGATGAGTTGAGAGATTCAAGGTTCGATTGGTAGCTAGAGGATTTACACAATCCTATGGGATGGACTATCAAAAAATTTTTGCTCATGTCGCAAAGCTTGACATTATTAGAATTCTTTTTACATTGGTTGTCAACCAAGATTAGTATTTATAACAATTGGACATAAAAAATTTTCTAAATGTTTATCTCAAAGTGGAAGTCTACATGGATATCCTACTTGGTTTTGAAAAACATATTGCAAAGAATCAAGTTTACAAACTCAAGAAATCTTGTACGGCATTAAACAATCTCCTTGAGTTTGGTTTGATAGATTCACAAAGGCTGTTTTGAAGTTAGGCTACATATAGGGTCAAATTGATCATACTTTATTTGTCAAGAAATCTCATGCTGGGAAAATTACTATATTGATATTCTATGTCGATGATATTATTCTTTTTGGGAATGATGTGGAGGAATCACAAAATTTGAAGAAATATTTCTCAGAAGAGTTTGAAGTTAAAGATCTTGAAAATCTTAAATATTTCCTTAAAATGGAAGTTGATAGATCAAGAAAGGGCATTGTTGTTTCTCAAAGGAAATATATTCTAGATCTTCTTAAGGAGATCGGTATGCTTGGATGCAAACCTGCTGATATTCCTATAGACAATCAGAAGAAACTTAACACCGAGAAAGAAAGTACATATGTAGATAGTGGGAGATATCTGATACTTGTTGGACGTCCGATTTATCTTTCACACGCTTGGCCAAATATTGGTTTTGTAGTGAGTGTTATATGTCAATTCATGCACAACCCTACAGAGGAACACATGGAAGCATTCTACAAGATTCTTAGATACTTAAGATGACACCATGGAAATGCCTATTCTTTAGAAAGATAAAGAATCGTGACACTGAAGTGTATTTAGTGAGGATTGAGCAGGAAACATCATTTATATACAGTCAACTTTTGGGTACTATTCTTTTATTTGGGGTAATAGTGTTATCTAGAGGAGTAAGAAGTAATTAGTGGTGGCCAAAAGTAGTGTAGAAGTTGAGTACAAAGCATTGGCATAGGGAATTTGTGAAGGGATTTGGATAAAATGTTTTCTTAGTAAACAGTAACAAATGAGTTCATCTTCCATTTTGATGATTTGTGATATTCAGGCAGCTCTTAGCATAGCTAAGAATCCCATGCATCATGATAGGATTAAGCACATTGAAATTGACAGCCACTTCATCATAGAGAAGGTGACTAGTGAGAATGTTAAATTGAAATTCATCCATACCAAACAATAAAATGCAGAGAAGTGCTATGGAGAGTTCTTGAAAAGAAAGGAGTCAATAATGCTTATATTCAAATCATTAAAGATATGTATGCATGAGCTATTACTTGTGCTCAAACACAAGGTGGTTTGACCAAGTATTTTCCTATTTCGGTTGGGTTACATCAAGGATCAGCCTTAAGCTCATATCTTTTTGCTTTAGTCATGGATGTTCTCACTAGACATTTGCAAGAGGATGTACCTTGGTGTATGCTTTTTGCTGATGATATTCTTCTTGTGGATAAGACTAGAGAGGGAGTTGAAGGTAAACTTGAATTATGGAGGTCAACCTTAGAGTCTAAAGCTTTTCGCTTGAGTAGATCTAAAATGGAATATATGGAGTGTA